AGAGTTAGAAACATCGATGAGAGAGAAACATCAATCAGCTGCCTCCTGCACACTCCCACTGGGTATGTGCCCACAACCAAGATACATGCCCTTCGCAGGAATCGAACCTGGGGACCCTTTAATCCGCAGGCCGACACTCTATCCACTGAGCTAAACCGGTTAGGGCAACAGGGGATTTTTGAAGCCATTTTCTCTCAACATTCAGAGTTTCTTGAACTAGCCTCAAGGCATAATGCCTTCATAATATTTCCCCCTTGTATCTCTTGCTCTATTCTTTTTCTTTAAATTCATAGACTGTTAAAATAACAGGATTTTGTGTTTTATTTATTTTAAAGTATTTTATATTATGAAGTTTTGTACAAACACACAAAAAGGTGTTAGATATAATATAACTCACAACCCAGCTTTATCAAACCTTAATATTTTGGCACAGTTTGCTTCTGATTTTTTTAGTTGACATTTCTTCTATAAATTTGCCTCCATCTCTACCCTAAAGTTATTGGTACTTATGATTCCAATGTATGTTTTTATACTATTACTGCAGACGCATGCATCCACAAAATAACAATTTCTTTTGCAAATTTTAAACATAGATACGTGATGCCATGCTGTATTATCCTTCTACAAGTTGCTTCCCTCCTCCTCATTAGAGTTTTGAGATTTAAACATGTTAATATAGTTAACCCAAGTTTTTAAATATATATATATTTTATTGATTTTTTTTACAGAGTGGAAGGGAGAGGGATAGAGGGTTAGAAACAGCTGCCTCCCACATGCCCCCTACTGGGGATGTACCCGCAACCAAGGTACATGCCCTTGACCGGAATTGAACCCAGGACCCTTCAGTCCGCAGGCCGACGCTCTATCCCAGCGATTCTCAACCTGTGAGTCACGACCCCTTTGGGGGTCGAACGACCCTTTCACAGGGGTCGCCTAAGACCATCGGAAAACACATATATAATTACATATTGTTTTTGTGATTAATCACTATGCTTTAATTATGTTCAATTTGTAACAATGAAAATACATCCTGCATATCAGGTATTTACATTACGATTCATAACAGTAGCAAAATTACAGTTATGAAGTAGCAACGAAAATAATTTTATGGTTGGGGCTCACCACATGAGGAATTGTATGAAAGGGTCGAGGCATTAAGAAGGTTGAGAACCACTGCTCTATCCACTGAGCCAAACCAGTTAGGGCAACCCAAGTTTATATTCATTTAAACTGTTGTATATTATTCCACTATCTGAATATACCACAGTTTATTTATCCATCCTCCTGTTTTGGGACATTTAGATGAGTTACACTTTTTTTTTTTTTTTTTTGCTATTATAAACAGGGCTTGACTCATTTTTCTATATAAATAAATTTATTTTCAAGGAAACTTTGTATCACTATCATAAGTTGAAAATAGTACCACTTGTCATGAACAGAAGATAACTGTAGGAAAATTGAAATGAAAATAAAATGTTCTCCTATTCTAGTCAGGCATCATAATCTTAAGAAGCTCAATCCTGTGGTGTGTTCTCCCTGTTAAAAGGGGGACTGGCAAGTGTTGGGGGAAGGACTCAGCCTCAGGCAGATTTTTCTCACTGACCTAATCAGGCTAGAAAAATCACTGAAATGGGAATCACTTTCTCACCACGTGACTCAGAATTGTTGAATGCTGTGATTGTGGAAACCTAAAACTCACTTCCCTGCACTCAGTGTTACTCATCTGCTTTTTGGGAAACACTAGATGAAGTGAAACAAAGAAGTATTAAATGTATCGCACGTCTCAGGCACTGTGTTAGACTCTAGAAGCACAAAGAGGAGTAAGAAAGGGCCCTCAAGGTAGTCAAATAAAACCAACATCCTGAGACAATCAGCACTAAAAGAGCACAGGAAATGGAGAGTGGGGAAGGCTGGGTAGATGTCAGGGGAGGTTTTACACAAAGGAGGTACCATTTGATTTGGAAGTCTTGGAGTGGAAAGGATTTTAATTGCCAAAGAAGAGAAGGAAGGCATTCTAGGCAGAGAGCAGCTTAAGCAAAGGCGTCAAAATGTGACCATAGAGAGTGCAGTTGGCAGATGATAGTCTTTATATCCTCGGAGGATCACAGCCTTGGTTATGGATGTCATGGAGACAGGGAGGGGTGATGGAGACAATTAGACTGCAGAGGCAGGTGGGGGCCTGGTTAGCTTTGTAGAGGCCAATAGAGAACCATGGGAGGTTTTTAACAAAGGATTAGTCTGGTCAGATTTGTTCCAGGTGGAACAGCAACTGTCCCAAGCTGTTAGCCAGAAGTGTTCCCAAGTGTTGAGCAATGATGCTGCCTATTGGGCTCATGTTTGTTGAGTGGTGTCACCTGGAAGGTTGGGCTCATATGATCTCTAAGAGGGACTTCCCAGGAAGTCAGACCACTGAGTCATATGCCCCAGCTAGTCAGGCTCATTTGCTCTCACTAGCTGGGCAGAGCCCACTGAATGGCTACCTCCCTGGGCCTCTACTCAAGACTCCAATACTGGCCTATAGTATAAAGGGCCCTCAGGCCCTCATGGAGAACCCGAATCCCTCTTCAGTACCTTTCCAGTCTCAAACTGCTCCTCCCATCCCCACTGCCTGGCAGCCTTTGATTCCGGAACCCTCCTGATGGCCCTGAGGGTTCCACCATGAGCAGGCAAGGCAGGCTCCACTGCTGCCCTCCTACAGTCAGTTGCAAAGCCATCCTGAGGTGACAGCTGGCTGAGGGGGCCTCCTTGGGCAGGGCTCCATGCCATGACCGCCTGTCCAGGCAGGCCCCTCAGTTCATGCTATCTGGGCTCCCACAGGCCCTAGTTCTTAGAAAACTCCCAGGGAATGCAGCCTGTTTCCTTTTGAAGACTTCCTGGGCCTGCTAATTGCACATTAGCCCAATATGCAGCATCATTGCCCAACCAGGGGTAGTGACTTACAAATTGGTGGGTAATTGCCCCTTTCTACCAGGGTACCCATTCAGAAAGCCTGGGTATGAGAACTAGCTCCCTCCCCAGAACCCGGTGCCTGGGCCTGCTGGGGAGGAGGCCATCATGGAGCCAGGAAGCTGCTGAAGGCTTCGAGGTGGCCGGAATGGCACAGCCCTTGGCTCGGGGACATTCTGGGAGCGCCCTGGGAGGCTGGGCCTATGGGCCAGGAATGAACCTCAGCTTTTCCAAGCCGTAGGAATTTATTTTGAATGTTTTGGAAGGTTCCAAAACCACGCAAGCCTTGGGGTCCACTCAAATGTCAAACAAACTCCTAAGTGGGAGCAGATGCTCACCATGCTGGCCACAGAGGTCACAGGGATGGCCCCCTGCTCTGTCCCTCGCCTTGACCCTCCGGCTCTGTGCCTCGGCCACCACACTCACCCTGAGTTTCAGTGAGTGCTCGGTAGACACTCTGATGCTACTGATGGGGTCCTGGAAGCCAGGCCCAGGCCCACCCTGAGCCAAGGAGTCACGCTCCCAGAGGTCTTCTCTGGGAAGAGCCTCGCTAGGGAAATCACCCAGATCCAGGCATCTGGGTCTTTAGACGGAGAGTCAGGGCTGGTGACACCTCCTGGTGCTGCAGGGGGCCTTCACTGAAAACACAGTTTGGGTGAGTTGGTTGAGTGCCCCAGTGGTCAGTGCAGGCCAGTATTTCCTATGGGTGGCCCCAGGGCCAGCACCAAAGAGGAGCTGGGAGAAGGACAGTGTCCCATAAAGTAAGTCCCATCAGCCTGCCCGAGTTAAAACACAGTGCTCCTTAAGCAGAGGCTGCTTAACCCCAGTCCCCAGCCCCACCTTCCTAGCAGCTGGCCCCCTCACAAGCCCGCTTACATAGAAATGCTAGACCCCCGTGCTCAGTCTTACTGTGTAAGCCTGCCCGCAGGCCAAGGCTCCTCCCAGTGTGATTTGTGGGCAGGTGATGCATATGTATGTCCTTCCGACAGTTCTATGTGTGTCTTCCTGCTCCCCTTGGATTGTCAGCATTTGCTGGGCGAGGACTGTGGTGCTTTTTTTTGGTGAGAGGCAATGTGGAGTCGGAGCGTGACTTAGAGTTGGGCCAACTCAGGTTGGAATCTGGCTCTGGCTCTCGCTTAGTGTGTAGCCCTGGCAGGTGACCGAACCTCTCTGGCCTTGCTTTTTGATCATTTTCATGATCACTGTCATTACTGACCCAGGGGCTCTGGATTGTACAGATAGAGAGAGGTTCCCAACGTCAAGCAGAGAATGACAGTCAGGATTTAGTATTAGATCTGCAGGATCCCACAGTGCCTGCCCCTCCCTAGATAAGGGGGGCAGTCTGCACAGCCTGATTGGGTCTGCAGAGGGCGGGACCAATAGGGGCTGTGTGAAGAGTCCCTCTGAGCATCCTTATACCTGACCCCGTTTTGGTAACTCCACAGGAGGAACGTCTGCGGGGGAAAGTGCTGCCCGGGATGGACAACGGCAAACAGCACCAACCACTGTATCAAACGTG